ATTTTCCGGCATCATCCGGAGTATCTGAATCTTGTTCAACCTCTTCCATCCCCAGTAGATAAGCTACGAATAATAACAAACACTTACGTATAGTAATTAGTTTAAAAATAAGGAAAATATAGCTATTCAAATGGAAATAACGCCGTTAATTAATATTTTTCTGAGAGAATTTATCAAACCCGTGTGCCAACCAATGACCATGACAACATAATCCTTATAAATATCTTTGGGTTTAATTAAAATATTTTGACACTGTTGTGACAGTTCTTTTTCTATGATCAATGATGGCTTTATGCTATCATCATCATCATCATCATTACAGCCCTTCACAAGTCCACTGCTGAACATAGGCCTCCCCCAAGTAACGCCACAAAGCACGGTCCTGAGCCACCTGCATCCATCGACTTCCAGCATGTCTTCACGGGTCGTCACTCCATCTAGTGGGGGGTCGCCCTACACTATGCCTACCGGTACGAGGCTGCCACTCGAGAACCTTTCTTCCGTGGTTCCGTTCTTGTATATGGCCGGCCCATTGCCACTTCAGTTTACTAATCCGTTGGGCTATATCGGTCACTCCGGTTTTACTGCGGATATCCTCATTTCTGAGTCTATCACGCAGAGAAACTCCGAGCATAGCCCTCTCCATAGCTCGCTGAGCGACCTTGAGCGTTCTCATACGCGGGGGCACGTCTCTGATCCGTAAGTCATCACTGGCAACACGCACTGGTTGTACACTTTAGTTTTCAGAGATTGAGGTATACCTGACGAGAAGATGTGTCGTTATTTCCCGAACGCTGCCCAGCCGAGTTGAATCCGTCGATTGACCTCTCGGTCGAAGTTGGACTTACCTAGTCGGACTATTTGTCCCAGGTAAACGTACTCGTCAACAACTTCGAGCATAGTGCTCCCCACAACTACCGGCATAGGTGTGACATGGACATTGAACATAATCTTTGTTTTGTCCATGTTCATCTTAAGACCTATCCGTTGGGAGACACCATTGAGGTCATTGAGCATAGTGCTCAGGTCCTCCAGCGATTCTGCCATAAGGATTATATCATCGGCAAATCGAAGGTGAGTGATGTACTCGCCATTGATTTTAATACCGTGTCCTTTCCAGTCCAGTAGCTTGAAAACGTCTTCCAACGCAGCGGTGAAGAGTTTCGGGGATATAACGTCACCCTGTCTTACACCTCTCTGCAGTTGGATAGGTTTCGAACTCTGGTTCTGTACTCGGATAGCCATCGTAACCCTACTGTACAAACACTTCAGCACCTCGATATACCGACAGTCAACTTGGCACCGCTGAAGGGACTGTAGCAACGCCCAAATTTCGACGGAATCAAAGGCTTTCTCATAGTCCACATACGCCAGGCAAAGTGGCAGATTGTACTCCTCGGTCTTCTGTACAATCTGCCGCAGGGTATGTATGTGGTCTATGGTACTGAAGCCTTTTCGGAAACCGGCTTGCTAGGGAGGCTGGAAGTCGTCGAGTCTGCGTGCGAGACGATTAGTAATGACTCTCGAAAACAGCACGTAGACGCGGCTCAGTAGGGAAATCGGTCTGTAGCTCTTCAAGAGAGCGTTGTCGCCTTTCTTAAAGAACAAGACCACCGCACTTCTGCTCCACGCCTCCGGAGTAGTGCCACCATGGAGGACGGAATTGAAGAGCTTCTGAAGGACTTCAAGTACCGGTGTTCCACCCGCTTTCAGAAGCTCCGCTGTAATTCTATCCTCGCCTGGGGCCCTGCCGTTTTTAAGGTGCTAGAGAGCCTTCTACTCTCGCTCAGACTGACGTCCGGGATATCATCGGAATAGTGTCGGGTAAGACTTGCTCTTGTATCGTTACTCACACTTGCGTGTGGCTCCAACGATAATGTGTGATTATGCTATACTGTCATTTTATATAATAAAGGGTAACTAATATGGAGTGTAGAAGTAAGGAGTACCGACTCCCATAGTAGAATAGTTGAAAAAGTGGCCATCTGTAAGCAGTAAATAACAGTTCAAAAACTCTCCACAACGTGTGGCTACTGGGATGAAATGAACTTAGCAGTTGGCGACGGTTTGATGTGTGCTGCTAAAGTGCACAGTAGCTCTAAAATCTAAAATAACTTTGTTTAGTAAATATAACCTCGAAAAAGTCATCTATCCCACTAATATTTTTCGGCACGTTCCTTAAAATTTAGCCCGTAGCTATAGTGGCGCCACCCTTATTTAACGGTTTTCTATGGACACTTTTTAATACACAGTCTGTACTCTTTACTTCTACACTCCATCCATAGTAACTAAATCGGTAAGACGCCATGTTGAAATTCGATAAAAATAATTGATAAACATCAATTGTTTACCACGTCAGGATACATTTTAATTTATTATTTGTATTTTTCCCAAATTCTACATATTTTTCTCTTTTTTTTTTTTGATGTAGTGTACATAGACCCAGCCCGTTTTGAAACATCTGCTTTAGTCTTAGATCATTCAACCCAATGGACGAGTAATGCGCCTAATGCTACGAACAAAAAACTCTGCCACTTTTGGTGCGGGGGAAGAAACACTACATAGACCGTACTTACTCAATAAAATTTTGTGTCATTATGGTACACATAAATATAAATCTCCAACATTATTACATTTACACGTACACATGCAGACTAAATACATCAACATAGAAAAAGTTATGAGTGTAAAACTGACAAATTGATTGCGATGCTACCATATCGATATTTTATATCGATAGTTTCCCTAAGAAAAGGAGAAAAACTCACAAGCATTAGCAAGTGCACTCGAACAATTAAAATCATATTTTTAGTTGGTCAGCGTGGATAGTTTTTTTTGGGTTCAATAGTAACAACAAGGAACGCTTATAGTTTTGCCAAGTTCAACAGTCTGCCGATTTGTCGGCGGCTTAATACAGAGACGTTGTTCTCTGTCTACGGTGCAAAATGACAAGGTTTTATGGCTTAGTTCCTTTGCCTGCTCTCTCGAGCAAATAATAAATACAACAACAGTGCTTGTCACAGTATAAATATGTACTTGTGCTGTCTATGACTTGTGTGTTTCTGCAGTGGTACCAACTTAGGGTATTTACCCTATATTTAGAGTAAAAGTAATCCAGCAGGGTAATTTCTAGGGTATGAATTTTCCTAGGGTATTTTTGGGGTAACAGTCAATAACAGTAAAATAATTACTTTGAATGATATTGTTTTTGAACGCGCCCATTACAGATTCCGTATCGTGAACGCACCGATTGCTTTTGAGTCTCTCTCTAGTCTCCCTTAAGCGCTTATTACATTATACAATTTTTAGGAAATCTAATTAGGAAATAGGAAGGTGTAATCGTAGTTAGAACAGTTAGGATCCGATTTAGTCAAATTGGAGGTACCAATCGCTCTACTTCCTAAATTGTTTACAATTTAGGACAGTGTAATCGCAACGTTACGATTTAGAACAACCAGTCGGCGCCCGCGCTTTGATACAAGCGGATGTCTTGAAGTTTTGATAGAAGTCTGATATCAGAGAGCAGTACTTTAAATCTTAATATTAATTTCCGGTGGCTATAAAACGTAATGTCACCATCAAACATTCTTTGGTACTCACACTTTATCGAAATATCGTGACTTCTTTTTTCAATATGTTTGGATACCAAACTTAACATAATGGGTCGGCTCGACCGAGGAAGCACCACGCTCCCACAGAATACCAGCGTAAAATAGTAGCTTAATGTTGCTGTGTTTCGTATGGCGAGTGTAGAGAACCAGAGATCCTTTTTACTGGAAACGAGGCATTCCATCTTAGTCGTCACAGGTGACAACGCATCTGCATTTTGATTTGTAATCGGGGATAGATGTAGATGTCCATGGGCCGCAGCAACCACTTACCATCAGGTGGACTGTGTGCTAGTTTGTCACCCTATCCTATAAAAAAAACTGCTTAGAATCTAAAAATATATAATTATATTCATATTGGACAGTTTTTTCTCAATGAAAAGTACTCTTTTTCTTTTTTTAATATCCTTTGTTCCCACCATGGCTAAGGCAAGTCCTATTTTCTGCTGTTTTGATAAATACGCCGCCATCGATCAAACGTGCAACCCCGTCGATACTTCTTTACGAATGCGGTTCGTCACGATTTAGAATCCAATTTAGTGTAGTGTGATCACTAGCTTCCAATTTAGGATCCTAATTAGATTTCCTAAAAATTGTATAGTGTAATAAGCGCTTTAATTAATTGTATTGCTTGCTCTTTCTTTTCGAGAGTGTGTGTTGTTGTGAAAAATGGCGTCGTCTAGTGCTGGCGTTACGCGTTCAGGTGTTCAACTTAAAAGGTAAGTCCAGTTTTCTTAAGGCTATAATATGTATTAATCTAATTGAGCAATGAGACTGAGGTTACACAAGCATTACTGTTTTTCTTTGATTGTATTGTACTTTGTTTGGCAGTTTGGCTGTTAATATTATTTGAATGTCTTTGGTAATGTATAAGAGTTGCATGTTGCAAATTTTACCCACATCTGTAGGTATATTTTACGGGTGGTGGTGGTGATGGATAAAGATAAATGCATATTGTGGTGATGATGAAGGTGAATGGTGGTGGCGGTGCGGTGGTGTTAACGCTTTGTTTTTTTTTTATTTTCAGATTGGATTTGTCCTGACCCCACTGGTGAAAACTATGCAAGGTGCAAATATTGTAAAGTCACATTAGTACCCCACAAGAAAGAACTTAACTATCACGCAAAGAGTAAAAAACACATAAAAGCTGTGTCATTAGATAAAGCGGCGAAGTCCTGTCAGCAATTGCCTTTTGTAAAAACAGTTTCGAAGAGTAACAAAACTGCGGAATTAAAAATAGCTGCTTATATAGCTGAACATAGTGCTATTCAAAATGTAGATCATTTAGGTGAAATCCTGCCATGTCTTGATCTGAAATCAGAAGTTCTGGGGACGTTAAAAATACACAGAACTAAATGCAGCATGCTAATAAAAAACGTTCTTGGTCCAGTAATGATGCAAGAAATTATATCAGATGTTGGTGATGCTGCATATTCACTTATTGTAGATGAAACTACGGACATATCAACAGATAAAATTCTGTGCATAATGATACGGTATTTTTCAAAAATTAAGCAGGATATCATTACAACATTTTACAGATACATAAAAATATCTAAATGCGATGCAACAACCATCTATGAAACTATAAAAAATACTTTACTAGAGGACTCCTTACGTCTTGAAATGCTGGTAGGAATTGGGCTAGACGGTACTAATGTAATGATTGGTGAGCACCACTCTGTCGCAGCACTGTTGAAAAGAGACTTACCGGATATTATCATCGTTAATTGTACCTGTCATTCGTTGCATTATTGTGCAGAGAAATCTTCGGAAAGTATGCCCCGTCAACTGGAATTTTTGATTCGGGAATGCCACAATTGGTTCTCGTATAGTTCAAAACGCCTTGAAGCCTACAGGGACTTATACGAAATTATGAACAAAAGTCGAGCTCCTAAAAAAATACCAGGATTTTGAGGAACACGCTGGTTAGCACGTTCTCATGCTATACGTACGTTACTCGACCAATAGGAGGAATTAAAGCATCTTTTCATGATGGCTAAGACTGAAGACAAATGTTTCATGGCGGAAAAATTGTATGACATCATGAAATGCAGAGACCATGCATATTTCACGTTCTTAGATGTTCATCTACGACAAGTTACTAAAGTAAATTGCCTTTTTCAAAGTGATAATGTCGATCCAGCGAAACTGTTAGAAGACTTGTTTTTGCTATTCAAAAATATCCTGCAAATTATTGTCATACCTCGGAAGCTTGAAACTGTTACTGATGGCGAATATGCATCATTTGGTTTTCAGGAGCATTTGATGCATGTATCAGCAATGCATTTTGGCTACACGGTTGAAGAGGCGCTATCGAAACTAGACAGACGTGACAAAGAAGACGTACGTGAGAGATGCAAAACCTTTCTTGTTATTTTGTGTTCCAAATTACAGAAAAGGTTGCCAAAACAGATCACATTCCTTAAAGCCATGGTGAAGTTGTCTCCAGAAATAGCCACTTCTCAAGTGAAACCTACATTAGTTGACATATTACAAAATGTTCAAAGGGCTGAACTATATGGTTGTAAACAAGAGGTAGAAATGGAATGGAATAATTTGCAAAACAAATCTTGGAAGAATACGACGCGTTGTACTGATTTTTGGGCTGAGGTTCAGGGGGACACAGACGCTGGGGGTAATAAAAGATCCCCTAATGTCTCTAAATTAGCATTGTCTCTTTTGTCGGCACCTATATCTAATGCAGCCGTAGAAAGGGCCTTTTCTCTATACTCAGTCGTCAAAACAAAGCTTAGGAATAGGCTATCCCTGCCTATTATACAGAGTATAATGACTGTAAGATACAATTTAAACATATTTCACAAATCTTGTGTTAACTTCACTCCTTCAAAAACAATGTTGGACAAATTTAATAATAGCATGTATGACAAAAAAGATAGTGATGCAGAGGATACTTTTATTGTAGTAATTGTTTTATTTGTAAAGAAGGAAAAGGCAAGGATATTTTTAGGGTATTTTTTTAAATAATACAGATTCTAGGGTAAATTGAGACCAAGCCTAGGGTAAAGTAAAACCTTGACTTGGCAACACTGTGTTTCTGTATATATTACTCTACTCCATAGAGGAAAGTAATATATCGTTATCATACACTCATAGATTACTGTATGTATACTGGAGACTAGCGGTGGGCAGTAGCGGCTTTTTTGAGTAACGAAACGAAACTATCTATCGAATATCAATAGCGGCTTTTGAAACACTCTATTTTAATAGCGGCTTTTGAAACACTATTTTAATAGCGGCTTTTGAAACACTCTATTTTAATAGCGGCTTTTGAAACACTCTATTTTAATAGCGGCTTTTGAAACACTCTATTTTAATAGAGGGTTTTGAAACACTCTATTTTTAATAGCGGCTTCAATAGAGTGTTTTACGACGTGTTCAATTGAAAAACGTTGCGACCGTTGTTACCGTTTCGTATAAAATTAGACATGGTGTTAATGGTTAAATTTATTTATTTGTGAAATAGGTTCGCACGGTTTGATAAAAACATCACTTAAAAGTACACTGGCATTACTTCGAGACATTTTTAATAATTATCACATAAAATTTTAGTATTATTTTTATACTTAGTTACTTACACTAATTACTGTACAATTATTATTATCAACACTAATATATACAATTGTATTTAGTTCTTATTTTACTAAAAATATTATTATTATTGCACAAAAAAGAAAACAAAAATATTAACAAACGCGCCTAAAAAGTAAAAACAAATCATGTCATTAAAACTAATTTAAACCGGGCCAAGGCCACTTAAACTATGGTATTTGAACTATTTTTTGTTAAAAACATGTACACTTACTTTCTCATTTCTAATATCGCATCTATACGAAGGGAATAGAGTCATAGGTCAAATGCAAAAGCACCCGCGCTCACTCGACTTTTGACAATCGGTGGTACTTCTACCACAGCGTAAAGAGTCGGTTTCTTTACTCATGTGCTTCTACTTCAACAGCCGAAGCCGTCGCCGATGCGTCGCGAAAATAGCCGAATAAACGTTTTGTTACTGATCGCTCGTTCGTGATTCGTGAAACGTGAATCGTGTTACTGAGTAAAACGTCTACTGTAATAGATAGTTTTGTTGCACTGCAATAACCCGCTACCCGCTATTGTGTGAATAGATAGTTTCAGTAACTAGTTACGTTTTGTAACGACCACTCCTACTGGAGACGTACACTCTACTCTATGCTTGTGTGCTTGTTGCTTGATGCTTGTGAATAGTGAAGTCAAAAACACAGCAAGAAATTATAATCTTATCACAGATTCATAGAACACTTTTTATTATTATATAGTCATAGTTTAAATTAAATTGTGATACAACTTCTTGAAACTATAAAAATTACTATTTTTTTGCAATTTTGCTTTTCTTTTCACTGGAAAAGTTATATATATACAATTTGTTGAAAAAAATTGTCGCTTCTAAAATCTATCTACGTTAATATTTTAAAGATATTTATATTTTATAATAACTTGTAAAATATGGGTGATGCTGATTTAACTTATGGATCTTCTCTCACTATAGACTCTATTAAAGTAATAGCTGAAAGTGTAGGGATTGCTAGCCTTGGTGACGATGCCGCGAAGGAATTGGCTGATGATGTTTCTTATCGACTTAAAATTATTGTCCAAGATGCTATGAAGTTTATGCATCATTCTAAGCGCCAGAAGTTATCCATAACCGATATAGACCATGCCTTAAAAATTAAAAATATTGAGGTAAATTCATTTAAATTCAAGTTTTTAATATGTGATTCCTATGTCTTATTCATGCTTTAGACCTAGTGTGTTTGTTTAGAAATTAAAAATTAAAAATATTGAGGTAAATTATTTTTTATTAGTGTGTTTGTTTAGACTTGCTTTGTTTATATTATATAAAATGTTTCAGTGTCAGTATGGGTTCATACAACCAGATTCATTACCATTTCGATTTGCATCTGGAGGAGGCAGGGAGCTACATTTTGTTGAAGAAAAAGAAATTGATTTATCTGAGATATTATCAGCACCTCCACCAAAAATTCCTTTGGATGTTTCTGTTAGAGCACATTGGCTGAGTGTAGACGGTGTGCAACCTGCTGTACCAGAAAATCCTCCACCATTATCAAAGGAAGCGCAAAAACTTGAATCAGTTGATCCAATTACAAAACTTAGTAAACCTAACAGTAAAGACTCTGCTGGTAATGACTGATTACATATTTATCAAAAGATTGTAAAATGTTGTAAATTGAAATTATAAACTTTTGTGTGATGTTCAGGTAAACCTGTCTGTGGAAAAGCTGCTCGCTTAAAAGCTTCTGAATCTGTACATGTTAAGCAACTTGCTACACATGAATTAAGTGTGGAACAACAACTTTACTATAAAGAAATTACTGAGGCTTGTGTGGGTAGCGATGAAGCTCGACGTGCAGTAAGTCATTTAATTTTATTGTATTTTTAATTGTGTATGTGTAGTAGTGATGGTAAACCTATAATTTTTATCTGAATACAATGCATATTTAGTTTAGTTTAGTTTACAACGGGCTGTTTTCCGCAACTCCACGTCTAAGCACGTATTTTGCGTGTGGGCAGGAATAATATGCTTATTCGAGCCATGATATCTCCCCGAAGAAGCTCAGCAGTCCCTTGATGTTGCAACTTCGGGGAGCGATCCCAGCATGCCGAAATGTTTAGCCCTGTATGAAGCGACTTCTGGACGTTTCAGCAACACGTGAGCCGCCGTTTCTTCCTCTTCCATGCATGCCCTGCACAGGGGGCTGTCAGTAACACCTATGGTGAACAAATTTTTGTTAAAAGAGCCATGTCCTGTGATAGCACTTGTTACTATCCTGATCTGTGGCTTGTTCAGTCTCATTAGAACCTTGGTTAGACGACTGTTTATTTCAGGTAGGGCCTCCCTAGCTTGTCTACAGTCTACTAAATTTTTCCAAAGCTGAGCGTGTAAATTATTGAAGTATTTACTTACCAGTGAATGAACGTAGCCAAAGGGGATTGGTATTATTGGTTCCGGCCTTATAGTTACTAGGGCCGATCCCCTTCTAGCCAGTTCATCTGCTGCATCGTTGCCTCTAGATCCACTGTGTCCCTTGATCCATTGCAGAGTCACATTGTTGTGCTTACATACCTCATTCAATTGTTGATGGCACTCGTATATCAGTCCCGAGTTTGTCACTTTGCAACTCAGAGCTTGTAGTACCACTGTACTGTCGGTCAGTATTCTGATGGAGAAGTCTTTCACCTTCCTAGCATCTATTGCTGTGGCCGCTTGGATGATACCCAGGCATTCAGCCTGGAAGACTGTATTGCGGGTACCCAGCGGTGTGCATATGTGGATATTAAGGTCTTCATAGAAAGCCCCAGACCCCACACCTTCATTTGTCTTAGAGCCATCTGTGAAAACTTTGAGCTCTCTTGGACCCAATCCTTCCAGAAGGTCAGTTTCCTTCAATTGTATCCTGTACTTCTTATTGAATACAAATTGTTTTGGGATCCTATCATACTTGGCTTGTAAGATAGTAATTTTTGAGTAAATTCTATCGATTATATCTGTGTGGGGGACTCTACTCTTACTTAAAAGATTTAGGGTCTTGAGTCTAATGGCAGCTAAAGTTGCTTCTTGTTGTATATGTAGATGAAGCGGTGTTAGCTCCAGCATAGCCTCCAAAGCTGCTGTTGGTGTAGTCCTTATGCAGCCTGTGGCAGCCATACAAGCTAATCTCTGGTAACGCTGAAGCTTTTGTATAGTGGTGGCTTCATTGGTTTTGGTCCACCATACCAGAGAGCCGTATATGATCATGGGCCGAATTACAGTTTTGAATGCAATGCATATTTACAATGCATATTTAATTGACTTGGAATACATTGATGATGTTCTCATTTTATTCATATTGAAGTTGGTTGTATAAAATTTTTAATTTTACCACTATATATATATATATATATATATATATATATATATACATCCCGTAACTTATTGTTCGTCCACTATGGCCAATTTTGCATATAATGTGGCGTCAACCTGCTTACGACGTCCAATATACGGACGTCAAATAGGAGACTTAGCGCAATGTTCGCAAATTGTCATGCTGATCACAGAAATGTCAAAATCTAAAAAAAAATTGGACGTCATTTTTCTTCCAATCTTGCTGTACTGAATATTTACGTAGTTCCGCTAATTTTCTTTGCAAAAATAATAGCGCTGCTGTCGATTTGTGAATACTTTCATTTATGGCCGTATTTGACTTCCGCACAAAATTAGGAGATGCGACGTTGCCGTTCCGTCACCGTTGCCAACGTGTTACTTGTATTTGGTGATATATGGTTATGACTGCCTCGTTGGTCTAGTGGTTGCAGTAGTGCGACTGCTGATCGTGAGGTCCTGGGTTTGAATCCCTGGTCGGGCCAAAAATTCAATTATTGAGTTTTTCTGTCAAAAAATTCTCAATAGCTGCCCGGAGTCAGGAAGTTGACGGTGTATCACCCCCTTGCCTCGGAAAGCACGTAAAGCAGTTGGTCCTACGCCTGATCTCTCTCCAGTGGTGTCGGTTTACCATCCTATCGGATTATGAGAATGAGGGAATAGAGAGTGCACCTGTGGTTGCGCATACACTTGGGCACTATAATCCTGTCCTGCGCCGATGGCTAGTCTCCGTTGAGGCAGGCCGCCGTGACAGTAATTCGGTATGCAGGACATTATTATATGGTTTATACTGCGCTTGGTACTAGTAATTTTACTTTTAAACTTGTTTTCTTAACTTTACATTTACCTACACATAATATGGACGTCCTAATATCCTAAAACTTTCATACTGAATGATATTTGACATCCGTATTTTTGAATTTAGTTATATTTTTATAAATGTAGATGCAGACATCGGCTTATCGGTTTATTTCATGCTGCACTATATTTTAACATTTTACATTTGGTACTAATCTGCCTAAAATAACTCTTGTTAGTTATTTCGTAAGCA